TATGGCCAGAAGAGAGAGGAGGAAACACAAAGGCGCAGAACAAGAGCAAAAAAAGTGATTCTTGGCTGAAAACGAAAAACTAACGAGGCCTCCTAAGGTATTTAAAAATGCATAGTGCGAACTGAGGGCTGCTGCCCAGACTCTCAGATGTGGTGCTCCCATACTGAAGAGCTTCCTTACTGAAGGCAGCTCAGGGCAGGTCATTCCCATACCAGTTGGAATTTCTCAGTGTTTTACATTCAGTTATTCATGGGAGAAGGAGCTGCAACACGTCTTCCCTTCTTCCATACAAGTGTAAAGTAAGGAAGAGCCCCTGGCTAAAGTTTCTCCCTGGCCCTGCAAATGCTATTTGATCTTCATAAATGCTTATAGCACGTGCTGTGAAAAACACTTAATCAGAAGGACTGTTAGTGGGTGCTCCATAAGCTGGTGGTTAGCACTGGCCTCTGAGAATTGGTAAGATGGGCTCAAAGCTTCTCAGACCCAGTGGAATCTGGGTTTCCCAAAGCCTGCTAGAATTAGTAGATCCTAATCTCTGGCTGCTGCTTGGGGTCTGTGGGTGATGCAAGGAAAGAAACAGCTCAGCTGTGGTTCTCAGCAGTGCTTCGATAAGAGCTAAATGCCTCATTCTATGCAGCCAAAACCTGGGCTGTTCCCAGACACAGAATTGTGCAGCTGCAAGGAAATTTGAGACCTAACCCATCACACTTTTCTTAGGTAGGATCAAATATTTTTAGACTGTCCGTGATGATTTTATCTAACCTGTCCCTAAAGTGCCCAGAGCAGATCTCTAGAAACATAAAGAGCTTCAGTCTTGAAAAATGGTCACTTACAGGCAGCTAACTCCTGTGTTCAAACGCAAATACTGGTGCAGTTTTTATGCAGCCTTTTTGGTGAGGTGAGGAGAGTGGAGAACAGGCACCTCAAGCACTTGAGTGTGTTTCTGAAGCCACAGCTGCTCTGTACTCAGTACAAGTCCTACCAAGAGATCACCTGGGGACTAGCATAGCCAGCAATGCCCTCTCTTGGGGCTGTGTGCTGGTTGTGAGCAGCTGTTGGAAGCTCTTGCTGAGAGAGAGCTGAGCTCGAGCTGTGCCCACTGGAGGCTGGCTAGATCCTAGGTCACAGAAGGTGATCTGTTAAGTTCCCTGCAGTTTTCAACTTGTCTTTATCTGATACTGAAGATTGTATCTGTAGTTTTGCCCCCCTAATTTGCAAGTGATTTATACTCCCAAGTTGTGGGAACAAATAATTCCATGTGTAATTTAGAAAATATGGCCCATAAAGTCTATTTGCAGTAACCATATTAGTTAAATTACCAGTGTGATTAACTGTAAGAATGAATGTGCTTTCAGAAATACCAAAGCAATTATTTCTGGTAATTTATTCTACTCCTTACAATATGGCTGCAAGAGTCTGAACTAGTGTTTTTCAGATAATATATTCCATATTTTGTGATGGAGACTTGAGAGAAATTTCTTCTTTCTAGGTCAGTTAGATTATACTAATTTGGAAAACATTTTCGATGTTCTTTATTAAAAGTTCACTAAATTGTGAGTAAAATGATTTTAGTGTAGGTGGTCTGCAACAGACTAAGCAACAAATATACTACTAAACTCTCTCTTTCCAACATCCTTTCATGCGGTGGGATTAAAAACAGTGTGTATCTATATAGTTTATGATTATAAAACCAACCCCCATTTTACAGTGGCACCAGTTACATGTTTACTTCTGTGTTACTGTCAGATGCATTCCCACATTATTCATCCAGCTAGAGATTAGCATCACCTTAGTTGGACTCGTTCAGCTGTATGTTTTTTTTTAACAAATGTTTTGGGGAAATAATCTGTCTTAAAAGAAGAACAACTTTAAAACATATTGTTGGTTTGTTCCTTTTGGACTGGGTCCAGTACAGAATGCAGCCACACACGTAGAATTAGCACAACAGAGGTGGCTTTAATTTCCAGACAGGAATGAGGGAAAACAGTTTGGGTTTACCATAGTGGTAAGACCTTCAACCAGATCTTCTACCAGCTACAGCTTGGAAGTATGGCACCGAAGGCTGTTTATTTGAGTTGAGTAACTACTTTGCATTTTCATTGCTACTTCCAACCTCTTAAGTGTTGTAATGCTGAATTTATGAAACATAAATTATGGATTATGCAAATACTGCCTTTTCTTTTAAATTGTTTGTGGGATTATTTTGGATTTATTACATTTTTCCAATGTACTGCTAGTACTGTGGGCAGCCAAGCGTAGGTATTTCTGATGTGTATTATTACATATTACTTTAGCCAAACTTCATCTGAAAGAATATTCATATCTAAAGCATATTATCTGGGTCTTGTTTTGTGCTTCTATTACAAATTGCCCTTTTGCTGTTAAAATCTTCAATTCTTATTTCAAGAAGCATTAACGTTATGATTAGGAGCCTGATTTCTAAAAGGTCAGATCTTTCTCTTTTGAGACCATCAGAGATGACTGTTTTTTGTTGAAAACTGGAAAATAGGTATTCACATAGCCTTCTTTCAGCCCTCCTTAAATTCAGAGTTTAGGTCAAAATAATTACTTTTTACCACCCACACGTACACAAAAGTTGGATATACTATGCAGGCCTGTATAGCGTATTTCAAGCTATATCAAAGTTGTATCATCAGAGCTGTCAGCCTGTCTTCACATGAACCAGAGCACTTATTTCAGTTAAAATGAATGCAGGAAAGTAAAACAGCTTCAAAGCAAGATTCAGAGGGGTGCTAAGAATGGCTACACATGGACCTCTAGGAAGACTTTAATGGCAATTGCACCACTTCTGCCTTGATTTCTCAGTAAATTGAACTGCTACATATGTGTTGAATTTCTTCGGTGAATGTTTCGTAGAGTGAAGGCATACAGCCTTGTCATTCTCATTCAGAAAAAAAATCTGCCATACTAATATATAAAAGTTACACTATACTCCTTCACATATCACATATTACATATCACATATTACTCCCAACTCCCAAAGTCTTTGAAAGATATGATGTGAAGAGATTGAAGAATTGTGGAAGATGGACATATTCTTTTAAATTTGCGTGACAGAATTCATGTTTGCAAGAGTGAACTGAGAATGTCCATGTTTCAACAAGGCTGAACAAAACTGAATTACTCAAAAAAGCTCTTACTACAGGAGAGTAGTATCTTGCCACAGGAGGTCAGCTACCAGCTTTTGTTAGTTTAATATAAATAATAAAACCAGCAGATGCTTGGAACGGTGCAACCCAATAGAAATGAAATTGTTGACTTCTGCCCTACGTTTTCCATATGTCATGTTGGCCGTGCATCTTTTAATTTGTATTTACTGCGCTAGATATTGATGGACATTTTCAGAAGTAGTTCTGATGTAGTTAAAAAAAATTATTTCACTCTATTGGGTACTAAATTCATGCGGGTAGCTGAAGGAAAATTATTACTTCTGTTATTTTTATATACTGATGAAAATTACAGTCTTAAGGAATGCATAGAAAGTGTGTAACAAGCAATATGATTTGAACCAGTCATGATACTGCTACAGAAATGTCTCACTACTGCTAAGTATTGCAAAGTTATTAATCTTTCTGGATAAGGGGCGAGTGGTTTTCAAGGTGTTTTGGTGTCTGTTTTCCACTTCACTAAAATTCCCATGTTTTTTATTGGACCTAATAACCCTTCTGCCTGGAGAGCCTGGGAGACTTCAGCCCACACTGCAGCCTGTAGGAGACCGAGTGATGCCGAGTGTGGGCATTGAAATGAATGTCCCTCTCCTATTCCCTGTCCGAGGGTGCAGGTCTTCTTACTCTAAGCCCCTGGGCTCACACATTCTCCATGGGGTGCGAGAGTCCTTATCCCAGAACAATCTCCTTCCTTGCTCATTTCCTTTCTCAAATCCCAAGAGCTTCACCAACCCCACAGGGTTCAG